CCGCTCGCCTAATCCTTCGATGACTAGGTCTCGCGCGCCTGCTGCGTCACTCCTATTCCTTGTAGGATTATGCTTTGAGCCCATATCCACCATTCTTATTCCTACTAGGAATAGGCTCTCGGTTACGTTTCCTGATCTTCCGAGGATTACGCCCGTCACCGATCTTTCACGTGCGTTCCGACACTCAGCTGCTGTTCCTATTCCTGCGAGGATTAGTATTCGCGCCTTGCCTATTCCTACGAGGATTAGGCTTGCCTGCTTGTTCTCGCATTGTGCCTCGCACGTGTCGCCATGCGCCCCGTACTCGTCGTCCAGCACTCCTATGCCTACTCGGTTTAGGACATCGCCCACATTGCCCCACTTGCGCGCCATCGCGCGCCTACCGCCACTGCCGCTCAGCTGTCGCGCGTCCTCGCCACTTGCGCGAGTGTCGTGCACGCCAGCATCTCCTATCTCGCCCGTGTGCCGATTGTCGATCCCCGTGGGCTGCTCGTCTGGAGCTCGCGTATCATCGACCGTGCGTCCAGCGTGCGTCGCGTCTTTGCCGCCCGACGCCCGCACGTCACCACCAACTCCCATTATTCGTTTGTTCATCGCTGGTGCATCATCATCGGCCGTGCTCATGCGTTCGTCGTCTCGTTCTGTCCAACCGCGCGCATCAAGGGCCGATGCGCGCCACTCGCCCACTAGCCGATCACCGCCGACCTTCTTGTCACAGGGGTACGGAACCCACTTCCGTATCATTCCCCTCCTCTTCGAGACATTCCTTGTCCTCAAGGATCTATCCACGACCATCCAACCATCGGGCACTCTTTCTTCGATCTCGAGACCCTTGCGCGTATTGCACTCATGGTCCTCGACAATTTCGACCTTGACATCGACTTCGACCTCGACATCAACTTCGACGAACGACTTCTCTTCAAGGCCCTCCTCGACCACGAGTAAGATCTCTTCTTTGAACTCAACTTGATGCCCTTCCTCCATGATCCGGAGTTGTCTTTCATACTCCTCCTTTTGCTCGTACATCTCCTCCAAATAATTTTTCTCCCATGGGGTTAATTCCCTCTCCAATCCTTCCAAATATTCAAGATCTTCTTGATCCCACTCTTCTAATGG